TAATAAAATCCACTGTTTATTTGTTTCAAATAGATAAAATGAAACATATGAATCTTAAAACATTTATTAACTTACACAAACCTAATAAAATCCAATGTTTTGTTCGCAAACTCATCGCATTATTAATGCCATTGAATTGCTTAAAACGACATTAATTAATTAGCAGCAAAATACCTGATAATACAACACGATTATTAACATATGATTGCACATATAATGTACATTCGTTTGTTTTAAATAGATAAAACGAAATATATGCCATCTAAATCATTAATCATTAACTTATACGGGACTTACACAAAACCTAATAAAATCCACTGTTGTTTTGGCAAATTAATGGCAGCATAATAATGCCACATTAATTATTTGGCAACATAAAAAGACCTAACAATAAAACACGAAATAATGGATACTGAGTCTGTAGCAGCAATAGCTTTGCGCCTGCTTGGTGTTCCATACAAATATATCTCGGCCGAACTTGTTCAAGGCTGAACCGGTCCTACACCATTCTAAACAGACTTGAACTAGGCCTATGCCAAACCTACTTGACCTAGGCCTATTCCAAACCATTTAACTACAATGTACTGCATTGTGAATGCGCCATCGGCGTTCCATACATATACACGCATTGGCGGCCGTTCTAGAGGGCGGCCGCTATAGGTAGCGGCCGATATGGGCCTAATTCCATTATTTGACTAATTTATTATTACTACAGGGATATTATTATTTTTAATTGTTTAAAAACTATTAATGTAGGCCTATGCAACACCAGGATGCTTGTGCTCTATATTCTTGTCAACAACACATATCATCCAATCAAATTTCAAATTCAATGTCAAGTGATTTATACAGACCAATTACAGGCCAGAATTGCCAAATAAGACGCCATATGTAATTTCGTGATGGTAATTCTCAATTATACACGGGTATATTAATCCCAAAATATCATTATAATAAATCAAAATCTTTAAAAATATTCTATTATATAATACTAAGCAATGATTATATTAGACATATTCATCAGTAATACAGACTTTATGTGTAAATTTAATAACAATTATGCCGTTTGAATCATCCTCCAATGTACACTTCTTTCGATCAGTGGACATTTTTATGCATCGGACTCGAGAGTCGTAAGATTTGAGACAATCAAAAAAATTGTTGAGTAGCATCAGATCTAATTCATACTTGGCATATATATTAAATATATAATTCTTAAAATTACAGGATGGTTTTAAAAATTTACAGAGCTTACAAAATATGTGTAAATGATGCTTTATTTCAAAGAAAAAGTTCCGTACACTGTAACTCCGTGACCGATCAATGAAAAAAATATTTTTAAATAGCGCAAGTAAACTTTGACCTGTTTACTTTGTAAATAAGTTCAAAGGTTAGCGAATGCAACCAATAAACGATTTAATACGTTTTTTCTAATCTGGATGCAAGATGCAAAACCAAAACAATCAGCATCGGCGTCGCGACAACGATAACAGTCCGTGACGTCACTCTTCTAACATACCTACCGTATCCAAAAAAAATTTCCAGCAAAATGTTCTTAAGACTAGTCTACACCACTATATGATTGAAAAAAAATTTAAAAATTTTGTTGACCTCTGAAATCAAGATTGAAAAAGAAAAGCCTATCTTAGTAGTGTATTAAAATAGGCCAATGCATTACAGTGCAGTAGCATAGGACTTTCGAGTTGTTACTGTTTCAAGTAGTGATAATATACATATTTCTCTTATTACAAAGTACAAGTTATGTTTTATAAAGAGGTATTCGTGAAAAAGGCGTATTACTCCATGTTTGAATTACAGTCTTGTTGGCAACTCCGACTACCAAGATGGCCACTGATAATTAGTTAAAACTATAATAGAATTGCGCACTTTTCAGCTTAAAAAAGAAGAAAGTGTATGTTTTACTAGAGTGCATGAGAAGCACACACACAAGACGAGTGACCATTATTTTTTTCACGGTAAACAAAGTGGGTTGGCTAGCCACCCTATTCACCACCTCTTCCCCAGATCCGCCACTGGTTGGGGTTCTATATTTAAAAAAGAAAATTATATTTGTAATTGAATTAATGCTACTCACTTATTTATTCTGAAACTGTTGTGTGGCCCCTTCCTTCCCTTTGAAAATGTCAAATTTTTAGCTCAAAAATTGGAAATTTTGAAGTAATTTATATATAACTCGCACAGGTTGTTGTTCGCACAAGTGGATCTTCTTCCGCTCAAACTAGCATCCGCTCGAAAAAAAATTCCACTTGAATTCGCACGAATTGGCCTTCGCCTTTTTTTTAACTAGCCAAGTGGACCAGTGAATTAATATTTTTACTGGTCCTCAATCCCTTTCACTAGCCACTATCTTGCCAACTTCGGAAGGCCCAAATACCATATTTTTGACATTCTAATCATGCTCCCCCACCCCACCGATGAAGTAACACTGACAGATACAGAAAAATCTTTCTGTTGTCTCTGTATGGGAAATTACAGTACAGTCGTGAAATATTGCACTTTTACCTGCGCG